CAACCCAGACCACCACATCAAAGAGTACAGGCAAGGAATCTCTTCTGCCTAGAGATGGGAGAAAAAAGGGATGACAGAAAGGAGAGGCTATATTTAGCTAGCTGACCAAGATAAAAGGAATGGAAGGAGTCACACAGGCCAAGCACCGCAGGAGTGCTTAACTATTGCTCAGCACGGTTCATCCACAAGCCATGGCAGGGCAGAACAGAGCTGGGGGTAGTTTGCTGAAGAGCATAGCTACTTTCTCAGATTACAGGAAAAGGCAGAGACACACCCAGAGGGATATAAAAGCAATAACCTTATTAAGTTATTCAAAATCCAGTCTGAAAGTTAGAACAGAAACTCTTCACTGGTTTAGGAAAAAAAAAACTAAATAATAGAAGGAGGATGAGATAAGTACAAACTGCCTAAAGCAAGCAGCATCTTGAGGACTGTAAGGAGTTTTCCTTGGAGTTCCTTCTGTCTCCCAGGAAGCATGGAAGAGATACCACTTTTATTCAGTGCAGGTTCACTTGCCTCTACTTTAAACCTGGAAGGCCAGAAAAGCCTTCATTTTCTTTAACTTAGTGGGGGAAAATTTCTACTTCTTTAAAGAAAAGAAGGGAAATGAGGCAGCTTCTAGACCAAAACAGCTAATACAGCTTGCATATGACCTTCTGCTTTGCAATCAATATCTTTGGTGTGAAATCATGACCTAGGCTGTGCATGGTATAAACCTGGGGAGCTGCTTCATTTAGTCTAAGGACTGCTGTCTTGTAAGTAGGATACATCTTTCTTTTTATGTACAAAATATCTCTCAGGCAAAGGCTTTGTGAGAAAAACTACCCACAGTCCTAGATATTTAAGCACCTGAAACACCTAGTGTCACAAACATGCACTGCATACTCATGAGCACACATATGCACATGGACATTCACATACACATACATCCCAAGAATGATGAGGGACATACACCCAAAACCAGCAGATCTTGGAAATTTCCTCTTATCTGGAACATATAGTTAAAGCTTATATTTAGCAGTAATACTTATTTAATGAGGGTTATTTTTTTCTTCTCTGTTCCAAAACACACTCTACTCTGAGCTCAATTATCACAGGAGGACCATATCTGACCTGAGAGAGCAGTAAGCAGGTTCTTACTAGTTGCTTATTTTTAGCCTCTGGTCTTTCCTGCCCTCTTCCCCAGGGAAGGCCCCTCCCTTGGCTCTTCAGTGTGCTCACCAGAATGCAGGATCCTGACTCCCAGCAGGAAGGTGGGGCTGTGGGAGGGAGACCTGGTAATACCCCTCCAAGCTACAAACTTCAAACTATGGACTGAGCAGTTCCTACTAAAAGTATGAGGGAAGAAATATTTTAAAACCACAAAGAAAATAGGAGGGTGACTATAGAAGAGAAACACTGTACATAAAATGTTTACTGTCCATCTAAGATCAGAGCAAAACTACTGTGCCACATGGCTGGATTGGCATATGAAAATCTCTTTGTTTACCTGGGCCAGCCCTGGTTACTTATGCATGTAAATCATGCAGTGTGCACCCCTGCAGGCAAGGCTCTGCCAACCAAGAAAGACCCCACTTATCCTGAAGAAAGCCAGGCTGCCCAACAATCAGCACGAACACACTCCAATGAAATGGATAGCAAAGCAGGTAATTCACAACAAAAGAGGAAGGCTTCAGTGTTTGTCTTGCTGGAAACTCCAAGATAACAACACTCCTTTCCCTAAGCCTCATACTACTACATATATGTAGCTGTCACAGAAGCACCAACGCGAATTGAAAAGAGAATTTTGTCTATCCTACTTTTCTGATGGAAAGATCTTTTTGTGTGTGTGTGTGTGTGCACGTGCGTGCTTCAGATTGAACCCAGGGCCTTGTGCATGCAAGGCAAGCACTCTACCGACTAAGCTATATCCCCAGCCCTTATCCTAGTTTTCAATGATTGACATTTCACTGTAAAATTAGAAGTACAGAAGAAGCCTTGATCCTCTAAAGAAATAAAAAGTTTTTAACATAATAAATTCAGACAGCAAGTGAATTGGAACTCATGCATAAAATGTGAGATAAACTCTATTTTTTTAAAATCAAGAATAAATGAAGGGCTGGGGATACAGCTTAGTTGGTAGAGTGCTTGCCTCACATGCACAAAGCCCTGGGTTCAATCCCCAGCAATGCCCCCTCCCCCCAAAAAAGAATAAAGGAAATGATAGTACAGCTGTTAACTTAATGGTTTGCATATTCAAAATGCTTGAAATACATTTATGAGTTCATCCACATATACTATGTCTTCTGCTAGGGAGACATACATGTTGTTCAATAACAAAAAGTTAAAAAAAAATAAGGGAAAAGAAAGGAGGTAGCATATGCCTGTAATCCTAGTAACTCAGGAGGCTGAGGCAGGAGAATTACAAGTATTGATGCAGCCTTAATAACTTAATGAGGTACTGTCCTAAAAAATAAAAAGAGCTGGGGGTGTAGCTCAGTGGTAGAGCCCCCCTGGGTTGTATCCCTAGCACTGAAATTTAGAAAAAAATTAAAAATTGTCAGTCAGATTTAAGGTCTTCAAGTTTTCAAGCCTCTGGTCCCAAGAAGTAAAGGCATAGCCTAAAGGCTCCACATTGATCTACCAGATACCAGTGCCATCTGATCTCCCCCCACCCCACCCCCACCACTTGAGAAATAACCCTTTTTGTAATCTGGCAAGTCCCCACTCCCTGCCCTGTCCTGCTCTGGTGTAGGAAGATACAAAAACAGAAGCCTTTACTCCCTCCACCCCTGCACCAGTTCTCTGTAAGCAGCTCCCTGCAGGAAGAAAGTGGAAGAGGTGGAGGGAGAGCATTTCCACTGTACGGTCAACTTTCAGTAGTTTGTTTTGTACAGCACAAATAATGAGGGGTAAAGATCTTCCATGGCAGGGTGTGGCAAGGCTGTAATGGTACATTCCATGTCTCCCAATTCCTCATACAGTAGCCAAACTGCATTTGTTATCAGGCACTCCTCACTGAGACTGATGTCTAGGGACAAGATAGGGACTCTGCTCCTCTGAAACTTAGAGCCCATCCTGGAAATCATGAAACAATATAAACATGACTGTTAGAAAGTTGTCTCTATTTTGTCTCCTTTATAATAAGATATCTCAAGGATTAACAAGAATCCATTAAAGTAACTAGAAATTTTAGTTACAGCTGAGTGCATGAATGCATTCTTGTTGTACCATCAAGCTATCAGTGAGTATTGATTTAATCAGCTTTTTCGCTGCTGTGACTAAAAGACCTGACCAGAACAATTGTAGAGGAGGAAAAGTTTACTTCAGTGCTCATGGTTTCAGAGGTCTCAGTCCACAGAAGCCTGGCTTCATTCCTCAGGGATCAGGGTAAAATGGGATGTCATGGTAGAAGAGTATGATAGAGGGAAGTAGGTTACATGATGATCAGAAAGCAGAGAGAGACTCCACTTGCTAAATATAAAATTTATGCCCTGAAGGCATGTCCCCCAATGCCCACCTCCTCCAGCCACACTCTACCCACCTTCTGTTACCACTCAGTTAATCCCATCAGGAAACTAATTCACCGATTTGGTTAAGGCTCCCATAACTTAACCATTCGTCCTCTAAATTTTCTTGAATTGTCTCACACATGAGCTTTTGGGGGACACATCACATCCAAACCACAACAAGTACTTAAATGCCAAACATTTGGTTAAACCTTCTGCTTGCATTATCTCATTTTGTCTTTAGCATAACATTTTAAGAATAATGTCATCCTTATTTTAGATATCAGTAAATTAAAGGTTCAAGTAGGATCATTAACTCCCCAAGGTTTCAGACGATAAACAACAGAGCTGGGAGAACTGACCTATGGAGGGCTGGCTGCTTCAGATGCCTATGCCTCTTTTTCAAGTGTGGCCTCACTTGGTAGATTCAAACTCATTATGTGTATCCTCTCACATTTTCTTAACTTTTCTGTAGCAAATTTTCATTAGCATATTTTCAATTCCCTAAATGGCCTGAGCAGTTTTTTAATAAATGGAGACTGTCAAATATACAGATATTTATTAGTGCCTACTCTGTGCCAAGACTACATCAGGTGCTACAAAGAGACTCTAACAAAAGACAAATCTATAAAGTGGAAAAAGAAATGGGGAAACAGTCAACCAGTAATAGAAGGTGATAAATAAGTACAACCTGAGACTTCTGTACAGGCAAAGGTTTCTCAGTGCACCCACAAGTCCCCTGAGAATCCTGTTACAATGCAAATTCAACTCTGTAGGTCTGAGTGGGCCTGAGATGCTGCATTTCTAAACAGTTCTTGAACAACACTCCTGCTGCTGCTGCTGCTGACCAAGTACTCAGGAACTTCCAAAGTCTGTCAATCTGGGATGGAGTGGTCTAGAAAAGGTCAAGAAATGAACTAGAAACAGTCTTTACAGAACTGAGCAGAATTTGGAGATGGGGGGACAGGGTGCCATCAGGAAGCAAGAAAATAATATTTAAGATTGAGGGGGAAAATACCTCAAGCAAAGAAGCACAAATGCACAGCTGTTCATTTAACAAAATAAAAAAAACATTCTTAAACTGTATCATCATTTGTTTCAGTTTGGATCTCTATAGACTCAAGTATTGAAGATGGCACTATTGGTCCCCAGCCAGTGGTGCTATTTATTTATTTATTTTTCCATGCTGAGGATCAAACCCACCTTGTGCATGCTAGGCAAGTACTCCACCACTGAGCTACATTCCCCAGCCCAATCATGGCGTTATTATGCTAGGAAACTTTAGGAGGTGGAACCTAGTGGAAGTAAGTTAGCTTGAAGGGCACATGCCCTTGAAGGGGATTACTGGGACCCCAGCCTCTTCCTATCTCTCTGATTCCTTACTGCCTTGAAGTGAACAGGCCATCTCTGCCACATGCTCTTATAAATGATATAATGTGCCACCAAAGGCCCCAAAGCTATAGAACAGAGAGACCACAGACTAAAACCTCTGAAACTATGAGTCAAACAAACCTTTTTCCTTAAGAGTTGATTATCTCTGACCTGGGGATATAGCTCAGTTGGTAGAGTGCTTGCCTTGCATGCATGAGGCCCTGGGTTCAATCCCCAGCACTACAAAACAAAACAAACAAACAAAAAAAAAAGGGTTGAGTGTCTCAATTATTTCATCACAGTGACAGAAAGCTGACTTGAATGCCAGGAACTACTAATCTTTATTCTTTTGAGGAGCCCTTAATTCTCTTTAAAGAACCTTAGTGACTAGCCTGAGAATAATTTCAAGGTAAGCAATGATTTTTGCTTGCTAATCTAACAGAGTAAGGCTCATAATAAATGTCTTAGAAAATGCTGCCTGAACTACTCCATTACTTGATGATGCTCAGAGGTTTCAAGCCATGAACTTTGGCACATACCCAGCCACTAAACAATGAATGTTTCACGAGACATTTTTAAACACTTACTATCCAAAATGAACAGGAAAGAAAGTCCCACTGTCAGCTCCACCCTTTGTCAGCCTCCCAAGATGGGCCTCCCATGAGAAGGGCGAGAATAGTGGTCCCTTCTATTGGGCTATCTAGTAATGTAGCCCTGCTTCCTGGCTAGGCCATTTCCTTCACTGTTTCTGAAAAGTGGCACTGCCCTTACTCAATAAGCTTCTCAGCAACAAGAAATGAATGCTCAGACTGTAAGGAAAGGTCACCCTGGTGACCCTGCAGCATCATGCACATTGTGCTTATGAAGAGAAAGGGTGGTGTGGCTGGGAACTACTGGATTCAGAATAGAGAGATGGGCATTTACTGCAGGGTTCTGTCGTTTAATCAGCTACATAACCTCTCCAAATTCATTTTTACACTTAGAAAACAAAAATTTACAATCTGAGATCTACCTATCGTACTATCATGGATAAAATTCAGCAATGGCAAGTGCTTCATATGAAACACCATAAAAACACAATATCTTATTCCTAAAGAGTCTGAGAGATGAGAGGCTTTTCATGATACTCTTCCTTTAACATCATACCCCATTATATATACAGCTAGTATTTATTATCTCTACTTGACAAAAGCAAAAACTCAAAGCAGAAAAGAAACCATGGATTTGTTCAAAGTCAAACTCCAAGGAAATGAATGACTGCCAAAGGTAGTCATGAAGTCAAATATATTTCTGTTATAGAATAATGAGATTTATTAATCTGCTTCTAGAAATGTGTATTTTAACATTCCCTAAAGGTCTACTGCAAGACTCAAATCATTTAGAATCGAAGTGTTTGTTATGTGACACATGAAAATCCAAGGTGGAGCTTATTGGAAGAATGGGCACAAGATTCCAGTACTGCCTCAATTGTTTTACAGACCACACAACCTTGGACAGGCACACTGGCTGGGGCAAGGATTCATTTCCCTTTCTTTCTTTATTTTGATTTTTTAATAGTTGTAGATGGACACATACCTTTATCTTATTTGTTTATTTTTACATGGTGCTGAGGATGGAATTCACTGCCACACACTTGCTAGGCAAGCGCTTTGCAACTGAGCTACAGCCCCAGCCCTCATTTTCCTTTTCTATAAAAAGATAGAACTATATTTGCTAAGTGATTAAACCTTTTGTTAAGGTTTAATTGCTAACACCTAGAACAGTTAAAGTCTGTTCTAAGCAGGTATAGATGCCCTTAGCCTCCCCAATATCTCATCTTTCTCTCTTCAGACATTTTCAATTATCTCCTGCATTCATTTCCTTCAGCAACCACCAAGGAAATCCCCACTATCCAGATTATAAACTCTGGAGTATGTGAGCTACACTGGCACACCAAAGCGGCATGGCTGGGTATATGGACAAGGTGTTATGGTTTGAAAGTCTCCTGAAAAACTCATTGAAATTTAATTGCTACTGTAACTGTGTTGAGAGATGGGACCTTTAAGAAGTGATCAGGGGGCTGGGGTTATGGCTCAGAGGTAGAACGCTCACCTACCATGTGTGAGGCACTGGATTCGACTCTCAGCACCACATAAAAATAAAATAAAGATATTGTATCCACCTATAACTAAAAAATAAAAAAAAAAAATAGAAGTTATCAGGCCTTGAGGATTCTACCTTCATGAATGGATTAATGCCCCTATCACAGGAGTGGGTTACTGATAAAAGGATGAGTTTGGGCTGATTTCTTCTCTGTCTAGCACATCATTAGCTTGCCCATCTGCTATGTTATGATACAGGAGCACCAAGACCACGTGCTGGTACCATGCTCTGGGACTTACCAGCCTTTAGAACTGTAAGGCAAATAAATATCTATAAATTACCCAGTCTGTTTTATTTTGTTGCAGCATCAGAAAATGAGCTGAGACATAAGGTAAACTGGTAGTCTCCTCCTCACATTTCCCACTACATTCCATTCTCCTTACTCTTTTAAAATTTGCTACAATTCTGGAGTTGAAGAGGCAGAACTAAGTCAACCTGGATACATTTTCTGGGGAGATGTGGAGAAAAGAGTGGGAACAGAAAGAGGGAGGACAAATATAAAGAGGCTCACCAACCAACCAAGCACATAGCGTGAAAAAATAAAAATCTGAGCTTTAAAAAAAAAATTTTTTTAATTGTAGTTGGACACAATACCTTTATTTATTTATTTTTATGTAGTGCTAAGGACCGAACCCAGGGTCTTGCACATGCTAGGCAAGCGCTCCACCGCTGAGCCACGACCCCAGCCCCCAAATCTGAGCTTTTTAGATTTGTTGCTCACTTAAGAAAGCTGATGGAAGAGAAATCCACATGTAAGCTGGTATTTCATACAGAGGGCTGAGGAACACAATTCAGGAAGAGCACCTGACACTACAGGAATTTACCTGATAAGGAAAAGAACACTGTATGAGGTCCTAGAAAGAACACAGGGGCCCCAAAGACAATTCAATTTTAACTCTGTCCCTCTCTGTGTGAAAAAGGGAATTTTTAAATCTGTTTCCTTTTTTAACTAAAGAAAACCTCAGAGCAAGGTTAACATGTAAAATGCTGCTCATAATATCCGACACAGTAGATAGTAAAGGTTAGAATACCTTCAACAATGTTGAGGAGAACTTTTGCCTTCAATCCCTAATATAAGGAAACTGATGGCAACATCAGAGCAAAATCCTTCATTCAATAGGTCTCATTAACCACAAGATGGATGTGCTCACTCCAAACTCAGTAAGCATGTTGTTCTTAGTGGAAAGTGCTCTTCTGGTATGGCCCCTCCTGTTTCTGTTGAATCAAGATAACCATTTCTAGGTATTAAATCTAATCCAAAGGTACCCAAAAAACATTTAGCTGAACTTCTATGTCCATAAGGCCTGAACCATACTGCAAAGGAAAAAAATATATACAAAAATAATAATAATAATAATAATAAGAAGAAGAAGAAGAAGAAGAAACAAACTAGCCAAAATAAATGGAACACAAAAACCTCTCGGAAACCAACCCTAAAGAGAGTTTACAACAAGAATTGATATTTTCACTGATTTCTTGACTTTTATTCTTCCCCACCTCAAAAACAACTTCTGGGGGTTGAGGATAGGCAAGGCAACTCCAAATGGGCTCAGAGTAGCTTTCCCCAGAACAGAGGGAAAACAACCTAACAGGAAAGCCCAGATGCAAGTATGGGGAAACTTCGGAGTCCAGGCCTCCCTGAAGATATGCTATCACAACTAGCCTGATGTCTGGATACAATGTTCTCTGGGACATGGGGATACAGGAGAGTGGGAGCAGGGAAATCTCAATATCTCAATATCCATCACGCAAGAAAGCCCTCCTAGTGTTTGAGGAAAAAGAAGAATCATTTATGGAGCCTTCTGGGAAAGAAATGTGATATTTATATAAAACATGGGGTTAAACCAGGTGAAGTGGTGCATGCCTGAAATCCCAGCTACTCACCTGTAATCCAGCTACTTGGGAGGCTGAAGCAGGACAATTACAAATTCAGAGCCTGGGCAACTTAGAGAAATCCTGACTCTAAATACAATTAAAAAGGACTGGGGCTACAGCTTAGTGTTTATTTAACATGTGCAAGGCTGTGGGGTTCAATCCCCAAGTACCACCACAACCATTGCCACCACCACAAAGTGGGGGGGTTGAGAAAAAATATAATATAGGAAACTGAGAGTGAAAGAATATAAGCTCTGGGCTGGGGTTTTAGCTCAGTGGTAGAGCGCTTGCCTCACATGTGTGAGGCACTGGGTTCCATCCTCAGCACCATATAAAAATAAATAAATAAAGATACTGGGTCCATCTACTACTACTAAAATATATATATATATATAGGCTCCATGAAAGTAAGATTTTTTTTTAATATGTTTGGCTCATTGCTTTTATCTTTAGCACTCAGAACTGCACCTGGAACACAATGGACTCAAACATTTTATTGAATGAATAAAAGAGGGAGAGACAGAAATCTAATATGGTTAAGGCATAAACTTCGAATCAAAGAGAATTGGATTCAAGGGCTGGGAATAGAACTCAGTGGTAGAGAGCTTGCCTAGCATTTATGAGGTCCTGGGTTCTATCCTCAGCCCTGCCCCCCAACACACACACATATTGGATTTAAATCTTTTTTAAAGCTACTTCCTAGTTGTGGGATTTTAATCAAGTCACTCTGATTCTTGCTCAGAATTAAATGACAATGTATTTAGTCACTTAGAATGCCCAGGACATTAGCTATGATCATCTCCTTGCCCTTTGCCCCACACCCTCAAAATCTCCCTGGCTTGAGGCAGAAAAGAACAGTAGGTACCACAAAGAATCAAAGGCCCAGTACTGAAGTGAGGGCTGCAAACCAGTTCCGGACTAATTCTTGGCCACGGGTGCCTGGCCTGCCCTCAACACTCTCTCTAGTCCTTTGCTCCCATGAAATCTAGGCCAGTCCATTTCTCTCTCTACAGGGAACCTTCCTTTTGTCCTCTGGCTCAGAAGAGGATGTGACTACCAGTATGCTGAGAAACTGGAGAAAGCTGTGTGTAGCAGGGGAAAGGCAGCATCTAGAGAGGTCCCCAGAGAACCAATCCCACACTCATCCACACACTTACTCCCACCTACCAACATCCCATAATATGCTCATTTAATTCATACAAATTAACACTTTCTCAAGCTGCTACTGGGAGCAAAGACACACCAGACATTTCTCCTGACAGCTTCATTTGCTATGCATCTCAATATGTTAGCGATAATTTCCTGGACAAACCCCAGCTTGAGTAGGAGATAGAAATAGATCTCATGCCTGAAAAGCCTCAAGCCACATCACATTCGAATTGGAAAAGACACAAGAGACCTTGGACTCACTTGCTGAGCTAAGCAGGATCCAGGTTTCCTAAGGACTTGAGTCTAGGGAGAATTTAGGAATTTCAGATTTTTGGTCATAAATCCAAATGGTGTTACAGTGGATGGTTTATATGCAAAAGGGAGAAAATGAGCAGGAAGAAGGACTCATGAGAGTGTGTCCACTGTAATTCCTGATCTTGTAGGAGGTGCAGCTGTAGAAGAGTAGAGCAAAGAAGGGACAACAACACACACACAGTCAGTTTCTTATACTAAATTCAGAATGGCTCAATCTAACATGTGTGATTTTAATCACATGTTCAGAGGTGCTGTATGCCCATGTAGAGCCCACTCCTCAAAGCCCTGCAATATTAAGCTAAGCAAGGAAGCTTAAGCGGGCCACACAAAAAAGACTCCAACTTCTAAACAGAACAGGATTCAGAATAAAGAGGAAGAAAGAGAGGAAGAGCCCAGAGCTCCAGGAACAGTAATCCCCAGGTCTGCCCAAGCCTGCCCCACCACTGCTGTCCCTGTTGAAGAGGTTGATGAAGATGTTATCCTCAGAGCTTCCAATTAACTCCTGCAACTGGGTTACTATTTAGCTCAGAGAAAAGATGATGATGAAGAAACCAAGCATAGCCAGCTTGTGTTTGGAGAAAGGATCACTCTGTGTATATGTTTAGCTTCTCTGCATGCTCACTGGAGACAAGGCAGGAAGTAGTAGACTCATATGAGACAGAAAGCACTAAACACACCAACTATAGCGAGGAGGTTAAACACTTATTAATTACAGCAAAAAAAAAAAAAAAAAAAAAGTACTCTCTTGGTAACAGCATCCCCAATTTTATTACAGCCAGTAATTTATTTGCTGAGTTACAAAACCCCACTTCCCAGCATTCCTTGAAGCCAGATGTGACCATGTCTTCTAAGTTCTAACTAATGAGATATAAACAGAAAGACTTTAAAGGAATGGTCTCACATGGGAAAGCAACTTTTTGTCTTTTTCTCCATTACCTCCTGTTATGATTTGAACTTGTAACCCCCAAATTCATAAATTGGAAATTGAATTCCCAAGTTAATATGCAGGGCTTTGGGGAATTAATTAGGATTCAATGAGGTGATGAGTGTGGGCCCTCCATGATGGCATCAGTGGTTTCATAAGAAGAGTAAGAGCCCAGAGCTAGTACACTTGCTCTGTCTCATCATATAATCACTTCCTCCATGTTATGACACATCAAGAAGATCCTCATTAGATGCTGAGCAGATGTCATGCCATACTCTTGGACATACTAGCCTTCAGAACCATGAACTAAATAAATGTCTGTTCTTTATAAATTACCCAGTCTTGGGCATTTTGTTATTGCAACAGGAAACAGACTAAAGCATCTCCCTTTTGTGTGTTTCCTGGAGACAGAAATAAGAGGGCTGGATCTCTAGCAGTCATACCTGACCATGAGGTAACCTTAAGAATAGAAACTATCTGCCACATAATGGAGTTAGACCAAGTGAAACTCTTTCCTCTTGAGCCACAGAATAGGGCATACAACCACCATATTATGGCTAAAAAGGCCAGAACTTCCATATTTCTAGGTAGGAGGTGTGAGCCAAAGTTCAGATGATCATGGAGATGGCATTGTCTCTAAATTCTTTCACATAAAAAATAAAATCTTCTTTTGAAGTTAAAGCCATATTCTGTAATTTCCAACTAAAACTAATCTTAACTGAGGCAACAATCCCATTAGAAAGCTTTATTTATTAAAGGATGCTGTGAAGGAGATTAAAATGGCACATACTCTTATAGACCCCCACATGGTAGATTCTCAAATTGTGTCTGCTTATGGAAAACAGCGTTGGCTAATTTCTTAAGTAGCAAGTACTACCACTATGAAAAGAATAGAGAGTTTCTGGGGGAGTGTAGGGCAGGGAATATTCATCCTAAGACATTAAATATTCCATATTACCTACAAACCAAAACTTTAGGTGACTGATCCAGTGAGGTGGCATGATTTGATCTCCTAAGAGAATCCTGGATGATATAAACCTTTAGATATTTCTCATATTCTGATTGAGCATTCCTATTATGAAAATCTGAAATCAAAATGCTCCAGAATCCAAAGCTTTTGGAGTGTCAAGTCTATGTGAACATTCCAAAAGCTGAGAAACTTCAAAATTTGAAATATTTCTGGCACGGTGTTAATTGTGTTCTGTTCCTTAAAATGAAAATGCCTTAATAGTCAGAGACCAAGTGGAACACATAGTCCTAGCAGTGATGATGAGGATGACAAATGGCTAGGGGCAGTTAATAAAGAAAGGGGGAAAAAAAAAAGGTAGAGCCAACAGCTTGGCTCTATCCACCTTCTTAAGGGGCCATGCCTCATTCTCATTTCCTATTAAAGCTCAAAGATTCACTTCTTTAGCCCATCAATCAGAGATAACCTTTGCCAGGTCAAGCTGAACTGTCCATTTGTGGAATGGACTACACCACAACTATCTGGCAGCTTAGAAGGGTCAGAAATGACCTTCAGACACAGGCTAATTGGGGCCTGTTTATGTGAAGGTATGGCTCTAAATGCAACTGGCACAGAGTGATTTATAATGATGACTGCCTACCTTTGGAGAGGGGGAACAGAACTATTTTTGCTAGTGAAGAATTAAGGTATGTTGGTGCTGATGTAGTTCAGTGATAGAGCACTTGCCTAGCACGCATGAGGCCCTGGGTTCCATCACCAGCACCACAGGGTGAAAAACCGGTAGACTGAGGAAACAAATACTCACAGGACAGAATCCTTCTGGGATAGAAAAACAGAGTCAGATAAAGGGGGTGGGGCAGAGCCAAAAGGGTACAGGGAAAAAAAAAAAAAAGAATAACTGGATGGAACAGACTTTATGAGAGAATGTTAAAGGAACTGAACTTATTTGATATGCAGATGAAAATACTCAGGAGCTGATAATTCTCCTTCAGCCTGTGGCCAAAGACACAAAGAAGATATGCACCAAGAACAGCAGAATGGTTTCAGTTAAGTCCTCCCCACC